TTTCCATTTGACTGAGGATGTATACGTTGAGCACTAACCATGTACGTAAGAGACTTGAACAGTCTTGACTAAAACTGAGTACCCTGGTCGGTGGTAATCGTGAGAGGCGTACAAAACTGGGCGTTTTCAGTCATCTGAAAATCTAGTGTTGTGGTATGTTGATGGCGTTAACTCTCGACAAAAACAAAAGCAAACTGCATTGTGTGCTATGAAGGAAAGCAGGCCAGGTTGCCTTTCAGTCATATTGGAAACAGAGGCAAGGAACTTCTCGATGTCATACACGCAGATGTTTGGGGGCAATGGAAACCAGATCAATTGGTGGAAAGAAATACTTCTTGTTATTCGTCGATAATTATAGTCGGATGGCATTTGTATATTTCTTGAAGACGAGTAGGAGGCTGAAAGTGTTCAGGACAGACAATGGTACAATTCTGTAGAAACGAATTTAAATAATTCTTGGAATTTTCTGGAATTGTCTATCAAAAAACTTGAGCATACACACCGGAGCAGAAAGTTTAAAAGTGCAGTAATAGTGAAAGCGAAATGTTTTTTATTCGATGCAGAATTACCTAAGCGTTTTTGGGCAGAAGCAGTGAATACTGCTGTTAATTTACGAAACAGATCAATTGCATCAGGATTAGACAACAAAACGCCTATGGAGATCTGGACCGGAGCTATACCAGATGTCACCACACCACACACATTAAATGAAAAAAGGTTAAAATTGGATAAAAAAGCGACTCAGTGTATTCTTGTTGGGTACTTAGACAATGTAAAAGGTTACCCAGTTTACAATCCCAACAATAATAGTATAACAACAGCAAGAGATATTGTTGTGATTGAGGAGGGGATTAAACAGAAGCAAGATATAATGCAGTTTGACATTAGTGATGGCCCTGCTGGCATCTTTCCGATGAAGGAAGAAAGAGAAGGATGCACCCAAGGAGTGGGGGACATGAAGCACATAAAAACATGGAAGATCAGGAGAAGAAAAGAGTACTGAGCCCTGAAGGAGAAAGTTCAGGTACTGATGAAGAGAACTTTGTAGACTCCACAAATATGCTGGGGCTGAACCTGCGGAGCCTGTGCGGGGTCACATGTCTCAGCCACAACTTCCTGCCGAATTGCCAGTGGAGAAGTTTACTAAGCGTATCCATAAGCAGCCTGATCTGTACGGTTTTGGTATGTGTATGTAGGTCAAACCAGCGAAATAAATGCAAGTGAAATATCTCTAAATGAAGCGTTGAATGGATCGGAAAGTGAACAGTGGATATTAGTCATTCAAAGTGAATTTAAATCATTTGAAGACAATGACGCTTGGGAATTAGTTGATGTGTCACCCAGTGGCACCATTGTACAATGTAGATGGGTTTTTAAGCGGAAACTTGATAACAATATTAAAGTCAGGTATAGGGCCAGGTCAGTCGTTAAGGGCTTAACCTAAAGGCCGGGCATTGATTTTGATATTTTTTTTTCATCTGTTGTCGTCAGGCATTCCACTTTGAGATTGTTATTCGCTTTAGCAGTTCAGGCTCATTTGGATATTTATCATTTAGATGTAGATTCTGCTTTTTTGAATAGTTTATTAAATGAAAATGTGTACATGATGAAGCCGCCAGGTTTTCTGGATAGTAATGATGATGTGAATAAGGTTTTGATTGAAGATTGAAACGTGCTATTTATGTCTTAAAAAAATCATTAAGGGCATGGTATCAACGAGTTGAGGAATTGTTACAGTCCTTGGGTTATAAAAAGTCTAAACTAGAAGCATGACTGTTTACAAAAATTGATAAATGTGAAAAGATCATTATTGCATTGTATGCTGATGATTTCTTTGTGTTTTCTAATAATGAAAAAGAAACTACTTTGTTGAATGAAAGTTTGGCATCGAAGTTTAAAATAAAAGATTTGGGTTTGATTGTAAATAAAGAGAATCGTACTGTAACTTTAGACCAAGAAAAATATATTAAATAATTGCTGTTAAATTTCAATATTTCTGATTATAAGTCTGCCGAAACACCAATTGAACCTAGACTGAATTTAACTAAAAGTGAGAAATGTAACAATAAGTTCTCTTATCGGAAACTGGTTGGTTCGCTTATGTATGTAGCTGTGCTCATGCGTTCTGATATTGTATTTTCTGTAAATTACTTGAGCCAGTTTAATAACTGTTACGATCAGGAACATCGGGCCTATGCAAAGAGAGTTGTAATGTAATAAAGAAAACTAAATCTTTCTGTTTAGTGTTTTCAGCTAGTGGTAATAGTCAATTAGAAGCTTTGTAGACATAAACTGGGCGTGTAATGTAATTGATTGGAGATCCTATGCTAGATATTTTTTCAGGTTGTCAAACTGTGCAATATCTTGAGAAACCAAGAAACAGATTACTGTGGCATTGTCCAGTACGAAATACATGAGTATTTCGGAGAGTTGCAAAGAAGCTGTGTATTTGTGGAATTTATTGTTTGAATTAACTAACAAATATTATCCTACACTAATATTTAATGATAATTAGTCTTGAATGAGGCCTCAACTTCCGTGTTTAATGATTGTCGCACAAACAAAGATGCAAAGTGATCGGGTGCTTTAACATCCTCTGTGGAAGGAAATATGAGCGAAGGTTCACTTCTTAAAGGGTATGGCGGAGGAAAAAACCCTTGCGGAAGGATTTTACGAATATCACTTCTTATATCACCACAGCATTCCTTATTAGTGCATTTTACAATTTGTAGTATTGGGACTCTTACACATGTCTTGTATACCAATGCTGATCATCTAATACATCTGTCATTTCTCCAACGTTTTCATTGTCTGGAGGCAAATATTCTGCTGCTACTGGTTCATTATCTATAATAATTTAACTCCAAATCTCTGACAAAACTTTACCTGCATGAGTAAAGTTTTTCAACTCTAAATCAGAATTGGTAGTTTTCCGTTTGCATCGAGATGGTTGCCGAAGGTATCATGCGGTAGCACCAAACCAGACAATGGAAGACTCAATGGCGCCATACGTCGTTCAACCCTGTTGAATACCAGATGCATTTGTTGCTACAAAAATGGTATCTAAGCCCCTTACATTTTTTGGGTTTTTGCAGTAGACGACGAGTGTTTTCCAGATCTGATTGCAAAATATGTTGGACCACTGTAAGTGACAGCATGAGGTCTACCCATTCCTCCTTTTTCTGTCCGCATTGCGCCATAAACAGACGGTATTCATTTATGGCGCTCTGCAATTACCCAATCGTGATCTGAAAGACGGATACGATACTCCTCTCCCTCCTAAATAGTCTTACGTGATAAATTAATGGCCCCTTAAGTGAGGGTGTAATAAATGAGTAACAAAATGTGAATAGTAGCGACACCTATGGTCTCTCCGTTTTATCATTGTTTTTTAATAAACAGTCAGTCAGATAGTCAGCGGAGCAGCGAATGGTGCTAGGACCGGCAGAGCACCTAAGGTTTGAAGAAGCAAACGTGTAAGCTCCTCCTGGAAGGTGGCTCCGTGCACTCTAGGCGTCGGGACACTGCGACGTTACGACCGTCCTTCTTAAGGCGGCGGCGTTGTTTAAAGGTGTGAACCGTGCTCGGGGCATCGGTGTGGCTCGGCGTATGGTAGCTACGGGAGGTAAAAGTAGCTTGTACAGCTACGTAGCTTTTCAAATATTAGTAGCTACTAGAGCTACGGAGATCAGAGCAGATCTAATTTTGTTTTTTTTTTTTGTTTTCGTGGAGGAGACCAAATCTTCCAAAGACGCGTAGTTTACTTATTGATTTGTTTAATTGGAAGAGTTGGGCGAGTGTCAGCGCCGCCCAGTAGTTGCAATAGGATTTCGATGGGTGTAGTAGCATTTTTTAGTTGGTTTGCTAATTTTAGTAAAGTTTTGAAACATTAATTGGATTAGGAATAGAAGAAAAAGGGTGGTTGGTTCAAGATAAGAAAGTGGGGTATAAGGGGTGCGGTTTGATAAGAAGAGAAAGGGAGAGATCGGTGTACGTGCAAGTGTCCAGCGTGCAACAATTCTTGGTATTGATCGATTGTATCGACCATTGTACTCTAACGAAAATAGTAATAGATTTTATGACTACAAAATAAAGATAAGGAATACGAAGTAAGGTCAATTGAAAAGTCCCCGGCCTAAAAAAGTAAAACACAATTTTTTTGCAAAATTCGTTTTTTTTATTCAACATAATTCCCTTCAAGGGTGATACACTGATTATAGCGATCCTCCAACTTTTCGATACCATTTTTGTAGTACGATTTGTCCTTTGCTTCAAAATAGGCCTCAGTTTCGGCGATCACCTCTTCATTCGACGAAAATTTTTTCCCAACGAGCATTCTTTTGAGATCTGAGAACAGGAAGTAGTCGCTGGGGGCCAGATCTGGAGAATACGGTGGATGCGGAAGCAATTCGAAGCCCAATTCATGAATTTTTGCCATCGTTTTCACTGACTTGTGAGACGGTGCATTGTCTTGGTGAAGCAGGACTTTCTTTTTCTGCAAATGCGGTCGTTTCTCGGCGATTTCGTCCTTCAAACGGTCCAATAACGCTATGTAATAGTCGCTGTTGATGGTCC